AATAAATATGAAAGTCACAAAAATAGGAGTGGTTTAAAGAATTAAAGAAAGTTGGCAAACCATGCATGCAGGTATTTGACAATTTTAAACTTTGAATGTTTCACCTAGAAATGATATATCTATTTCAAATATACAGATTAGTAAAATAATAACACCTAATCTATTATTAAAATATTGTTAAAAAAAAGTTATCAATGTTCATATCTATAACAGGTACCTTTAATTCTTGAGATTTGATCTTATTGTAGGTTCCAACGTCAATAACTGGATATTTTCCATGATTGACCTTCATGGAAAAGGGTCCCTCAGTGGGTCTTCTAACCCCATATTTAGTGACATCACCGTAAACCATGGTGCTCAGAATCACCATCAACGAGTCCACACTGCTCAACGACAAATACTTGAGCAGAAACAACCCTAAACTCACCATTCCCCTTGATAGAAAATGAACCTGTTCCTTTCATTATTATTCAATAATTTCCATCTATTAGAGTGCGTAACAAGCAAACCATAACTCACCCTTTATTCAACTCAACACAGCATCTAACCAAATATCCATAATCATCAATATTATAAATACGCCTACTTCTTCTGTTCTTTTCACATCAATTCATGACCGATACAAAGCTTTAAAAAGTCAACTTAACAAGCTATCGTAAACACCTTATACCAATCTAGTGAAAATGACTCTTGACATTTTAACTCCTTTTCTAAGCTTTATTCTAACATGGTCATTAATTATTATTTAATATATTAATGCATTGATACGTCAGATAAAGATTGGTTGGAGTGTGAATTCTTTGATGTTTCTGTCATCAATATTTAAATTAAAGTAGAGTTAGTCTAACAACAAGTCTACAAACATTAAACCTTCGGGTCCACTAAATTTTTAAGTAAATAAATAATATGCCAATTATTTGTACGGAAAAAAAATCTAACAAGGTAACATGTCTCATAAAAAAAATATAATCTTTTAAACCATGTAGTTAGCTATCTGATTCTTGTAAGAGAATATATTCATATTGAAGTATTGATCTTTAACTTCCAAACAAGTAATAACCTTAGTATGATATAACACCAACATAAGCTGTTTGGAAATATAGAAATACGAAACGAAATTGGTAAACAATAGAAATCAAAGTTATAAACTTTCTATCCAATGAAGTAATTGTTTGTCTAGAAATAGCTTTCATAAACGTTCATTATCTTATTTTTTAGTTGACTTTTGCTTCTTTTACTTCTTCTCTTTCTTTTTTTATTAGCACAATTAATTGTTATTTCTCTTTCAAAATATGATAATAAAAAATACAATAAGATGATGAAAAAAAATACTAATATAACATCATATTTTTTCCCAACTAAACAGCATACTAACGTATGTATTCTCAATCAAACCAACTTAATCTTCGCTCTAGTTTTTTAACATTTTTTTCTCCAAACCAAAGTATTTAACGAAAAGGACCTTCATTTTTATAAGATCAGAATTCCATTTCTGAAAAATCGAATTTTTAGCATAATTTGATGATGAATTGGAAAACAAATACATTTAAATCGATGTTTAATTTACTATTGAAATTATAATAATATAATATAATTATCATCAATAATTTAAAACATGCTTAATAACAAATCTAATTTGTAAATTTAAAACACGCTATAATTTTTTAAAAAAGATTTTAATTCTTTCTAAAATACATTTGTTTTAAAAAGAGCAAAAAACCGGACCAATGAATTCAGCTCGAGCGGAACCAAGTTATGAACTTAATATAAAAATAGGTCTCTTTTAATAAAGGACCACGATTGTTTGACACATTCTTTTATACTCCCATTCTTTTATTCTGATATACCAGGTTGGATTGGAGAATTTTTTATTAGATTTCTTTGAGGGAAAAAAATCGTAATTCTCTCCTATATATTTTTCTATTTTTTTTCTTTCCTTTTCTTTTAATTTATCTCCTCTTTGAGAAAAAAAAAGAGAGGCTAACTAAGAATAATAACCTCGTATCTTAAAACATGCAGTAATACTATAAACTTTTTTAACCTTAATCCTAAAAAAGCATTAGACGATGAATATACTTATTAACTATAATAGAATTACCGGGCTTCGAACAAGAATGGAGGTTTTGGCACCATGGTTGACAAGGTCCAAAGCGATTTCCATGCCGGAATTCCCAGACCCAACAACAAGAACATGCTCGTCTTGGAACTCCTTCCCTGACTTGAACCTAGTGGAATGAATCACCTTCCCAGGGAAACTACTCAACCCTTCCACCGCCGGCACAAAGGGGTCGCTAGTTTCCCCAGTAGCCACCACCAGGAATCTCCCGCAGTACTGCTCCACCTCGCCGGATTCCCCATTCCGGGCCTCCACCCTCCAGCAGCGGCGGGCGTCATCGTACTGGGCCAGCTCCACCGTCCTCCGATAGAGCGGCGCGATGGCGAAGTGGGAGACGTAGTCGTCGAGGTACTCTAGGAACTGGTTCTTGGGAACGTAGGAAGGGAAAGTGGGTGGAAATGGCTTGTGGGGAAGCTGGCAGAACTGCTTTCTGAGGTGGAGGTGAAGACGGTCGTAAGAGTATTTCTTCCATAGAGAAGCGAAACAGTCTTCTCTCTCAAGGATTATGAACGGAATGGAGTGCTTCCTCAAACATGCGGCGGCGGAAAGGCCTGAGGGTCCTGCTCCGACCACTATGACTCCCTCAGCCTTCTCTTCCTCCTGCATTCTCACTCTTTGTTTTCGATCTTAGTTATTTCTGCTGCCTACAATAATGCTTTCTGGTTTCATCTGCTCAACGTATTATATAGTGCCCTTGCTTCTGCAGAGAAATCACACATAACAAATGGAATAATTGATGTCGTCTTAATATCATAGTGACACATACAAATATTATAGTGGAAATAACTATAGTGGCATTTATATATATATATATATATATATATGAAAATATTTATATTTATTGAAAATTACTTTGTTGTTAATGATGGTTAGCATATTCAAAGAAGTGTGGAAGAGGTAGAAAGATTATTATCCTATTTAACTTATTAGAATTGACCTAATCTAGTGTAATTTTGTTAAATGTGATTATTATCCTATTTAACTTAGTTAAATAATTATTGGTCGGTTGAACAATGTTTAATCTATGTATATACATTGTTCGGTACACATACATTATATATATAGTAAAAAAAAATCAAGTCTCATTTTTTTTAATGCATTAGAAAAATAATTTGCAATTGCTTACGCATATAATTAACATAACATTTGACAAAGAGAAACTACTTGTAAGTTTTTCAACATCTGGTATTAGAGTTCAGAAGGGTGACAGTGCATTATTGAGCATGTGAATCCATAATCAAGTTATCTTCCAATGAAAGAAATAAATGATAAACACATTTGCTTTTGGGAAAAGTAAGTTGTGCCTTTGAATTTTTGGGACAACACATTTGAGGGTTTTCTCACGTAGCTTTTTACGTTGGAAATCACATCAAAGCAAATCTGAGCCTTAGAAAAATCGAAATTCTTTATATATTGTCATAATGGATATCATATATAATATTTGCTTTTCTTTTGTCATTCTACCACAAATTAACGTACAATTAACACATTAGTCTTATTAGATATTCACAAAGCAAGAAGACGTGAACTTGGAAAGTTGTTATTGTTCTGAGGGAAAAAAAAGAGAGAGTGATAAATAATATTTGCTTCTTTCTGGACAAATGATCAATAGTGATAGCCAATTAAGTCAAAAAAAAGTTCAAATACGAATAAATACAAAGTAAAATTATTTTTTTATTTAATATAAAATACGGTACTTTCCATTTTTACTTATTTTTCATAAGTGCACGAGAATCAAAATACATCTATATATCTTAAACCTTTCTTTTCTATATACGCCAATTTTAATTATATTACTATTTTTTGTTCATAATTTATGTGGCTTGTTTTACAACATTTATCAAAGATAAATTATTATACCGATGATACTGATTCCATGAATAATTAACGAAAAAACTATAAAATGTTAAAAAAAATAGTTGTGGTGACTTTGATTTTTTACCTTTACAATGTTAATTATTTTACAAAAAAAAAAAAAAGGTGCTAATGAGATATATTAGTTTAAGGACAATGGTAAGATAACACATTGCATTCATTTGATATATGACTTCTAATGAGAGAATGATAAATAATGTGTAAAATGAGTGTAGTAGTGTATCAAAATATGTTTTTTATTAGTTTAAACTTGAATTATTTGCACGAGTTGAGTATAATTATATTCTTGGATGGATGAGTTATTTCTATTATTACTTCATTCATTAAAGGAACAAGAATTGAATCTAGCTTAATGTAATAATTCAATCAGTTTAAGCTACTTTTGTGAGCATCACTCTTATTATATTTGCTTAAAAAAGGCTAGTAAATGAAGTACTACCTAAAAGAGAAGTCCACTTTCCATTTTCCATGCATGATAGCAATCAAGAAAAATAAGACGTTCATTAATTTGCCTTCCTAACTAGTTTATACATTAAATTTCATTCAATTAATTCAAAGTGAGAAATTTTGTATTTGCATGATGAGTGTAGAAATTTAACTCTGATTCGATATTATTTGCATTTATTTATATAATATAATTTGATTATATTTAGTAGAAATCCTTAAACAAATAATCGGCAAACAGAATGTGTGAATATTTTTAAATGGCATAGACCATAGATAATAGCATGGAAGGTGTTTGTTAAATTGTTAGATCATAGAAACCTTTAGCTTTCACTGGGTAAGATCTTGTTCTTAACGGACACACCAATAATTGATAATGTTGATACCTAAAAAAAACATAATTGTTTTATCCATTTAAACTTATTTTTTTCATTGCCACATTTTTTTAATAGGAAAGTTAGAATAAAGAAAATTGGAAAAAAATTATTAAGAGATGTTATATGTTTAATTTAATTAAGTTAAAGAAAGTTGTTGATGAAGCAGTTTTATGAAGAAAAGGAAATGTAGTAATGAGATTTGACAAAGGGGGTGGAGCTATATTTTCCAACCTTTTTAATTCTTTGCTTTGATTGGTAGTTGAGTTTCTGTTTGAGGCAACCTAATAACCTAGGAAGTCAATTCATGAATGCAAAGCAAATAAAAGTTGTTATGTCTCATGTCGCCAAAATTCAATCGTTTTATCATGATGCCACATTTACCCCTTCAATGTCCCAATTGCTTTCTCACTATAAATAATTTTATGTCCATACTCAACTACAAAACTCATTTCACGACTTTATACTAATTTTCACAAAAAAGCTATAAAAATCGTAGTTACTATAACTTTTATTTTTTACTTCGTTTTTCTTATATGATAGATGAAAAATAAAAGGTTGTGAAAGATGAATTAATGCCATTAAAGGAATAGGTGAACAATGACATCCCGAAGAAGACCTTGAGCAATCACAATCACTTATATATGAACGACGGTAAGATGAAGATCTTGATTATGCACATTGTTAAATAATTAAAAACAAAAGTTCCATTTTATTTTGATTATGTTTAAATTTTATTCACATTACGTTTGAATTATTTATATCTCCAAGTTTTGGATTTAGGATTGTATTTTAGTTTCATTTGTATTTTGAGTTATGGTATATTTAAATTTGATTCTGATTGTGATTAATTTCAGTAGTTCTTCAAATTAATTTTGAATTATGTCTTATGATGGGATAATATTATATAAAAGATGTTTAAATATTAAAATTATAATATGTAATTACAAGAAATAGTATTCAATTTTAAAAACAAAAAATAATTAGTCTGATTAATTTATATGTTAATTTATAAATTAAAATTTATTGATTATTTAAAATAGTCTTTATTATAAATAAAAAATTATAATTGAATTAGAAACTAATTTATATATTAATTTTTTTCGTAGTCAAAATCTTGAGAACCAATGTTAGAAACCAATGAATTCACAATTTAATTATATTATTTTATTCATAAGAGACTACTTAAATACTAATAATTATTGATATCTAAATTGGTTAAACGACTAATTGTTTTTTGTCTTTGTAATTGATTACTATTTAAGTATTTTTCTTCTAGTGTGTACTAATGCATATAATGCATATTATAAGTATAATAATGACAGTGAATTTGTGCATGATTTAGTAAGAATTTACTTACATGGTTTGGACATTTTAGCAATTAAGCCAAATATTAATGTTAGTTTTGGTCATTATTTTCGTTTATGTAATCTTACATTCATTAGGTTCTGAATCTACAATCCAAATTTATTAGAAAGTTTCTAAATTTATTATAATTAACTTTTACAAATATTCCTTTTCTTTGTTTATGGATCTAAGGAGGCAATATCATTTGCTATGTTTCGAGCCTGAGCATTGGCTCCATAGAATCCTGCTCTTCCCATTCCAACGCAGTACAAACCGTTCTTACCCTTCCATTGATTTTGCGACCAAGGAAAACCATCCTCGTTCAGAAGATCTTCACCTCCCTGTTTAAAACAAATCAATATTAATGCTATTAATTATAAAAATAAGTTAATCCTAATAATCAGTATTCATTATCTAAATTGAACATATATTAATACAAAGTGAACAACACAAAACAGAGAAGACTGCCTGATTTTTATATCAGAAACAACTAACAAGAAAGATATGGCAGATGACATTTATAACAACCAGAATAGCAAATAGTAACAGTAAGAGTATGATGCATACCTTGAGCCACTTTTGAGTGGTTCTCTTGAAGCCTGTGCAGAAAATAATTGAATCAAAGGGGAACGATTTGCCACCTCGGAACAACACTTCGTTGCCTCTTATACTCTCTATTTCTGTGGGCACCACCTACACAGGAAGCGTCATACAATGAAATTCACTCTGTGTCTGTCTGTATCAGCGTTACTTTCTCTTCCATTCAGATTTTGTTTTCCATTTCTTGACAAAAAAGTGTAAAAGTTGTGATAGAAATTTAACATAATGCTGTTACCTGTATCTCTCCAGATTTGATTTTCTTGATTGTTCCCAAATCAATGACCGGGAACTTACCGTACTTTCTCTTCATGGTGAAAGGACCTTCACTGGGAAACGGCAGCCCATACTTACTCAGATCACCATACACAATCCTGCTAACTATCGCCAACAGTTTCTCCACTGTTTCTGTTGACAAATACCATAACAAAAGCGACCCATAATTCATCATATTCCTCGAAAGAAAATGAACCTGTTCAACCAAATAAAAAAAATCAGTCTCAGTCCTACAAATAAGAAAGTTGGCTTTTTAAGATTTTGGATTGATCTTCTCTTAAGACTTTCAACCGAAATTCTCCATTAAGGTTGACTCTTCTGTCATTCTGGTATATTTTGTCGTGGTTCCCGTACTAACATAAAAAAAGAACATATTTTTGTACGCAATTTAAAAAATACTATGAATGATTAGAAAATATTTCTCGAGGTTACTAACTTTTTTATGTGCCAGTTCATAAGCTCGCGTTTATGAGTGAATAAAATTATGTAAAAAAATTATTAGTTATTATAAATCCGAAACTAAAATTAAAAAATTCAGTCTGTGATCCAAAATTCGGTGTACCGGAGTGCGAGCAACGATGGAAGGCTTAGCACCAAAATTGGCCAAATCAAGCGCAATCTCCATGCCAGAATTCCCAGATCCAACAACCAGAACATGTTCATCTCTGTACTCCTTCCCGTTTCTGTACGAAGTTGAATGAATCGCTCTTCCTCTGAAACTCTCCAACCCTTCAACCCTAGGCACGTGAGGCTTATCTTCGCCACTTGCCACCACCAAAAACCTTCCACCGTACTCCTCCACTTCACCAGTACTTCTGTTCTGAGCCTTCACTCTCCAGAGCTGTTCCGCTTCGTCATACTCCGCCAGCACCACGCAGCGGTGATACAAAATCTTCATGTCGAAATGCTTCTCGTAGGTTTCCAAGTATTCGACGAACAGCTTCCGAGGCACGTAGTTAGGGTAAGAGTTGGGAAACGGAAAGAACGGTAACTCGCACACTCGCTTGACCAAATGGAGATGGAGACGATCGTACGTGTACTTTTTCCACATGGAAGCCGAACAATCTTCTCTTTCGAGGATGATGTAAGGTATTGATTGCTTCGTTAAGCATGATGCTGCGGCCATGCCGGAAGTTCCGCCTCCGACTATTATCACCTTCTCTCTCTGCATTATTTGTTTGTTTTTCTGTTGTATTCCTGATCTATCACCGTTTTGCTTTTTCTCAATCATCGCATATTCATAAAGAGGGACCGCTACACTGACACGTCTACCTGTTATTGATATGTACTTTAATATAACACGATGACACACGCTACATTTATTTAATACATATAGTAACAAAATGGTTATAAAATAAAAAAAAATTATCTTTTGAGAAAAATAAGAATAAAAAATAAAATTATAATATTAAAATGTCAAAAATTTATATGTGTGAAATAATTATTTTTCTATTCATTTTACACTGTGTTCTCCTGAAAGCTTACTGTTTATCTTCCAAAATTACCTGTGTAATTTGAACCTAAAAGGAAATAATAAAGTCAAAGTATTATTTTTTATTCATAAATACATGACAAGTTCATTAACTTCTATAAAATGCTTTAAATTAAATAAACTTTGGTGGTTAAAGGGTTTCCACGTGGAAAAACCTGCTCCCTACTTTTTTTACATGAATGAATAACAAGGAAAATGGGAAATTGCAATTTTATTTTATTTAGGTAATTCTTTTTTCATTTTTATTTTTTTTATGATGCTTCTAGCGCTGTGTTTTATCTTTATTTTTGTTTTGTTTCCAAATCTTGATGAATAATTCACAAGTCGCCTAATTGTTGGTGAAGGTCGCTTGCTAATGTAGAAAGGGGTCGAAAGGTCTCCCTCTTACAATAGTTCTAGAGTTTTTTTTCTTATGTATTATTAGTATAAAGTTGTGATATCAAATAATGAAAAATTAATATAATTTTAAATTAATTATTATAAAAATAAATAATTTTCCGTACCTTAGTAATCAATAACATGTAAAAAATATTTTGTAGCGCATTTAGACGAGACTATTTTTGTTTTTGTAATTTATTACTTAAAATATTAGATATGTTCTAATTTGTTTCTCATAACATATTTGAATAATCCTTGCAGAGCATAGACGTATTTGGGAACGCAACCTTTCTTCGCGCATTTTCGTCTCTTCCGCATCTGTGGGGCAAAAGTAGGTTTCGGTATTATATGATTTGTGTGATATTTTGTCTGAAAGTTGGTACTCGTCTATAAAATTATGAGATAATGAAAACATTTTCATTAAAATTTTCAATTTCTACTTAAAAAAAATAATGATTTTACTAAAATATACGAAACAATTAAAGAAAAAACTTAAATGAAAAAACATTTTAGTAAAAATATAAATAAACATATTATAAAAAATAGTAAAAATTATTTTATGTTTAATCAAGTTTCAATTTTCGTTAATTTTGGTTACTTTTTAGAACGTGTTTAAATCCTTAACGAAAAGTAAACCATGTATATTATATATTAGTTTGTGATTTTTTTTGTATTTTTTAATTTTAAAAAAATTGTTCATGTGTAAATCAATATTGTATTATGTAACAATGTTACTACTATGTACCACGTGACAATGTTACTATTCTGTGATAAAATATTAACATGTAAACATTTTTTTCAATTTAAAAAAACAAAAGAATTACTGACTAACATTTAGAATATATTTTTCATTGATTTAAACGTGGTTACCAAAAAATATAAAATTAAATAAACTTGATAAAAATAGGAACAAAATAGTATTTAAATCTAAAAAAAATATTAAAATAAAATCTAAAATTTTAAATAAAAACTTACAAATAATTAATAGTTAATGGAGAGGATGTTGTGCATTATTGAAAGCAATTATTGAAAGCATTAGAGGGTAACAGAAACTTGGATATGTGAAAGAAAACAAAGAAATTGATACTAGAAGGACCATGTCTAGAGCGTGGCAACAACAATTGACATGATGCGAAGCCATTGTTGTTGTTGCATACATGGTCGTGGCTCAGTCAATGCATAATTTGAGTGTTTCATCCTACACCTCCAACATCTCATCCTGCACCTTCAAAAATTCCATTTTTAACCTTCTGACATCCTGCACCTCCAACCTTTTTAACTTTCTTCTCTTTCTTATTAAAGATATTTTAATAACTATCTTTTTATTTTCTTCTTTTTTTTATTAAAGACACTCTACACCACCTTAAAATTAATTTTAATTTAATTTAAAATTTAAATATTATTTAATATAATTTTATATTTTAATAATTATTAAAATATGATTTATATTATAATAATAGCTATATTAAAAAAGTAAAAATAAAATAATTAAAATAAAAATAAAAATAAAATAATAATAATAATATAAAATTTGACTTAATATATTCAAATATATTAAATTATATTAAAATATTAAAATAAATTAAACAATTATTAAATTGTAAATAAAAACAAAATTTTTTAAAAATTTGTTATCGAAAATCAGTTTTGTTCTTTATTTAAAATTTAATCAATATTTAATTTAATTAAAATTATAGCATTATTTATTATATTTTTATATTTTAATAATTATTAAAATATGATTTATATTTTTATAATAGTTTTATTAAAAAATAAAAATAATAATAACTAAAATAAGAGTAAAAGTAATAAAAGTAAAAATTATATTAAAAATCA